GATTTAGTAAGTGAGTGTACATCTATGTGGGCATTTGCTCTCCTAAAAAATAACATCAACTAACAAATGGTATCAGTAGCCACCATTTTACAAATAAGTTCGGTTTTTGCAAGATCAGTTAACTTGCCTGATATTACATTCTAGTAAATAAAGGAGCAGGACTTTAAACTCATGTTTACCTGAACTCTAAATTCTGAGCTCAGAGAATCTTCCAAATATACCACATTTTAAAAAACTGTTATTATTTGAGATAAACATGCCAGATGGTAGGAAATATTTATTACATGTTGAAGAAGTATGTATAAGTATTTCTTAGTGTGTAGCTCTATAACTTAAAAAGTGATGAATTTAGAACTGGGAGCGTCTAAGTGTTACGTTCAATAAGAAGGTGAAATGAAAAGTGTTCCAGTGACTCAGGCTGCATGGAGGCTGAACCTCATCTATATTTTCTGAAGCCTTCAATAATTTTAGCTAACACTTTTTTGAAACTGAAATATTGAATGGATTACCTAGTTAATTGACACACACTCAACCATGAATAGGCAACATTATTATTCTATAGCATCAATTTTAATATATTTTATTGATTTTTTACAGAGAGGAAGGGAGAGGGAGAGAGAGTTAGAAACATCGATGAGAGAGAAACATCAATCAGCGCCTCCTGCACACCTCCTACTGGGGATGTGCCCCAACCAAGGTACATGCCCTTGACCGGAATCGAACCTGGGACCCTTGAGTCCGCAGGCCAATGCTCTATCCACAGAGCCAAACTGGTTAGGGCTCAATGAGATATCTTGATCCCCACCTATGTGGCTTTGTCTGAATATTAATTATTTTCCTTTCTTTCCTGGTGGGAGGCATTTACTCTGGGAACCAGTTGCATGATCCCGTACCCTGGATTGTGTATATCTTAGTACTGAGCTTCCCCAAAGGAAGCCAAATGCTAACATGTAAAACCAAACATTACCAGACTCTAGTCTAAAGGCTCACCAGGAGAATGGAAAGGAACCTTGTAGGAGCAATGCTGCTGAGTCAAGAGTAAACATTGCAATGGCAAGCACCGTGCCTAGCATAGAGCAAGTGCTCAATCACCTCTGGCAACAGGATAGTGAATGGAGCTTTTCCTTGAACCTGAAATTAGAAATGTAAGGTGACAACAAATTCTAAAGAGAGCAAAAACCATTGGGATAGACATCTAATGAGTGTCGGACTCTCATGAAACCAAGCAATGGCACTGATTTTCTCTGTAGGAGGCCTCACTGACTTAGAGGACCACAGCAAAGTGCAAAAACCAACACTGAAGAGACCATCCCATTGCCAAAGACAACTAGGGGAGGATGCAACCAGATCAACACAGGGCAGGCCTAGGGAAGACACTGTGCCATCTATAGATGACTGGTTATCAAATATCCCTGTTTTCCTTGCCTTCCCACCCATTTCCACTGGCCTCCCCACAACCAGGAAAGAAAAGTCTCCATAAGTCCTGGCAAGGAGGCTTAGTTTGTTAGAGCATTGTCCTGATATGCCAAGGTTGCAGGTTTGATCTCTGGTCAGGGCACATTCGAGAATCAACTAATGAATGCATAAATAAGCGGAACAACAAATCAATGTTTCTCTATCTATCTATCTATCTCCCAATCTCTCTCAAAAATCAATTTTAAAAAAATGAAAAAATGATGGAAAGATTCTAGAACAAAACCATTACCCCCTTCATCAAGTGCTAATGTTGGGGAGGAAATAAATTCATAGACTATGCCCATCTTTATTTTGGCTCCCTACAGTCACATGCCTGAAATATGCTGGGAGAAGGGAAAAGTAAAAAGAGGTTTAAATATGATATGGAATTGTAGTTTTGGGTAAGGCTAGACTTTTAACAACATAAAGTAACTGAAAAAAACATGAGATCTTCCTAAGATGTTAATAAGAGAATGAAAAGGCATATTTGACAGAGCACAGTTGAATTAAATGACCAGAAAATAGTAAAACTGATTTATATTTATTTGGGTGAGACTGAAGTTAGACTGCTCAATAAATTATATATTTGAATGAATGAATGAAATATGAATGCACAAATTCATGAATAAGTGAATGGCAACATGGAGAAAGGCATTTTTTCTTATATTAAGTTTTTCAGGATCTTTATTTTATAAGTTGCTAGGAAGTGATAGTATGTTACTTATTATTGTTCTGTAAGCCCATTGCATTAATAAATTCTCTTCTATTCTCTAAGCCAGACTGAATTTGTTTAATTTATACCAAATTCCCCAAAAGGTTGTGATCTCCAAAGTGGGATCCTGGCATCAATGATGTATGATAATAATTCTTTGCCTCAGAGTCTCTACAGTAAAGAGAATGATGCTTTCACATGGTAATTGTAATAGAGCATATAAAAACAGTTTCACAAGATTCTCTAGTCATGATTTAAATGCATTTCCCTGAATTATGGGAGATGCCATACACAATAGCTATAACCAAACATAAATTAAAAATCCACAAAGCTATGCAACTTCTTTAATGTCTTTGCAATCTAGTATCGTAAAATTTATGAGGGAAGAATATATGTAGATATCAAATCCTCTTTTTCAAGGTGGAGAGACTACATTTCAAAGAGGTTAAATGAACTGCCAAGGTTCACAATGACTTAATGCAGGGTTGTATCAAGAATCCAAGTCTCTTCCAGTGCCCTTGGCGGACCCGGATCTGTCTCTGCTTCTACAGTGTTTGGAAGGAACAGATCCAGGAATGCCCCTTGTTCCAGCCTCCAACCACTCTCCTGTGTCTGATCCAGTACCACCTTCAGAACTACCTCCAGGACCAGCCAACACACTGTTCTGTTTGTTGTTTTCTACCGTAACTCCTTATTGCTAAACAGCCACGAGCTCCCAAATTCGTCAGCATTATTCCACCGAGGTGGAGGCTGCGGTCAACCTCCTGGCCAACCTGCATCTGTGGGCCTCCCGCACCTACCTCTCTCTGGGCTTCTATTTTGACCCTGACGTGTGGCTCTGGACAGGAGGGCCACTTCTTCTGGGAGTTGGCAGAGAAGAAGCACGAGGGCGCCAAGCATCTCTTAATGATGCTAAACCAGCGAGGTGGCCACATTCTCTTCCAGGACGTGCTAAAGCCTCCCCAGGATGAGTGGGCAAAACTCAGGGCGCCATGGAAGCCGCCAGGGCCTTGGAGAGGAGCCTGAACCAGGCCCTGTGGAGCTGCAGGCCCTCCGTTCTACCCGCGCAGCCCCTCAGCTCCGTGAATTCCCAGAAAACCACTTCCGGGGTGAGCAGGTGAAACTCATCAAGAAGATGGGCGGCACCTGACTCACGTCCACAGGCTGCCCGCCCCCACCCTGGGCTGGGCGAGTATCTCTTCCTTTGGAGCCAGAGGACTTTGAGAGGCCCCTCTGCATTCCCCTGGTGTCTGACTTTTACCTGAGCCTCTTCCAGAAACTACTAGCCATTCTTTTTCTTTTTCTTTTTTTAATATATTTTTGTTGATTTCAGAGAGGAAAAGAGAGGGAGAGAGAGAGAGATAGAAACAGCAATGATGAGAGAGAATTATTGATCAGTTGTCTCCTGCACGCAACCCTGGGCAAGCACCCTTAACCAGAATCAAACCTGAGACCCTTAAGTCCACTGAGCAAAACCGGCCAGGGTGCCATTCTTTTAACCACCCTGAAACCCTCTCCCATGCATTGGACCAAATTAAACAATAAAGCTTTGTGCAGCAGGAAAATAAATAAAAAAGAAGAATCCAAGCCTTGTCACTCCCAAACATGTCTGTATTCTTCTCCTTTGGCTACCTTAGTAGTAGTCGGACCTTAAAATTAGTAAATGTGACACATATATTATTAGTTGGACTGTAAATCTCATATAACTATGATCATGTCCAGAGAGAAAAGAGCAAATACATTTCTAAAATAAACTTGTATTTAGACTCTTGGAGTTTATATTGCACAAGTCATACACCATGAGCCTTATACTTAAAGGTTTACTAGAAATCAGCCCTCCATTGCACAATGGAAGAACAGAGGGGGAAAAATGAGGTATTATTACAGCTAAAAATATTACTGTCCCCATATATCTCTTGCCACCATAATAGCAATGAGGTGAGCTATGAAATCCTAATAGTCTCAGTTGCTTCCTGTTGCCCACAGCTGTTACCAATATGACCAAATGGAAGGAATTATATGAGATTGGTACTTGTTTGTTGGAAAAACATGGAAAAAGGCAAACCAACTCAGCTCTCTAGGAAAATGAAAGAGAATGTACCACTGACTATAATTCAAAACATCAGTTAATCCAAGAATGATTTTATGTTTTAGGTCATAAGTTAGTTCTACCAAGTTGATATCAAATCAAAATTTTGTATACTAAACCATTTAAATGGTTACAGATACTCGTTTAGGTTGTCTGAAGCATTACTTAAAAATCATGGTGCCAGCCAGTGTGGATCAATGGTTGAGTGTGGACCTATGAACCAGGAAGTCACGGTTTGATTCCTGGTCAGGTCACATGCCCAGGTTGTGGGCTTGATCCCCAGTAAAGGGCATGCAGGAGGCAGCCAATCAATGATTTGCTCTCATCATTGATGTTTCTATCTCTCTCTCCCTCTCCCATCTTCTCTGAAATCAATAAAAATATATACATTTAAAAATCATGATGGCATGAAAAAACTATTTCTATAAACTATTAGTTAATAAACAAAATGGAGTGTTTTTTTTCTTAATTATCAACACAAGTTTTGAATGTCAACCATATTTTGATCCATTATTGTTAATCTTATGATATTGACATGTTTATCCTGTTTTCCTTTTTGGTTAATCCTCACCTAAGGATATTTTTTTCTATTGCTTTTTAGAGAGAATGGACAAGAGAGAGGGAGGGTGAGAGAGACAAAGAGAGAGAGAGAGAGAGAGAGAGAGAAGAGGAGAGAGACACATTGATGGTTGCCTCCCAAAGGTACCCAGACCAGGCCAGGGATCGACCTGCAAGCCAGGTATGTGCCCTTGACTGAGAATTGAACCCAAAACCTTTTGATGTGCAGGCTAATGCTCTATCCACTAAGCAACATTGGCCAGAACATCATGTTTATCTTATGATAAAGTAATCTAAAGGCAATGCTATTTTTACCATTTGAATTATTTCAATATTTATTAGAATCAAATTTAAAAACCATTTTTTAATTTGATTTTTTATGATCTATGATGCAGTAAATGGCAGTAATGGCTGGTATTTGAGAGGTTGCTTCATCCATTCAGGCAGAAAATGCAAGTTTAAATATCTTTTAAAAGGCTTATACCACATTATGCACAAATCTGTAAATTATATGATGTGAAAGTTTTAAAGTAACTCAAGTGCTTTCACAATCATCCAAAGAATCAACTTGCAATCTAACAAAGTAATGTTCTTTGCAATGAACATTAAAGTAAGGTAATACACATAATTAGTGTGTTGTAAATGAAAGGGAAATTATTTAAAAGACTTTTTTCATGCAATGCCACTTCTTGGCTGCTGGGTCAGTGTAGTTCATCACATTAGCTTGTCTCACTTGTGGCAGTCATTCACAGGTCAACTTATTAAGCTGAATATAGTGCTCCTGGCACACACAAGTACTCTTTCTCTTTGAAAGTTCAGCAGCTGATTGAAAAGAAGAGGCAAAAATTTTCCTTAAAGGTGCACTTCTTCACCAATACCTATGTTTTCTTGTTCAATAGACAACATTTTATGGCAGAAAGTCTGTTTGATTCTTGACAATACAGCTGTGAAAGAAAGATAAGTGAATTGGAAGCTTTTCTTTGGAAAGAAACCCTGTAATTTTTTAATAAATATTTACCAATAGAAATGGTCTAAACAAGCAATATATATGTGTTGTAAAACACTATTTTTAAACTGCACAAAATTGCTATTGGACTCTTTTTCAGTTGTAGCAAAATTTTTTTTTTTTAAGGGGTACATTGATAAGCAAATAATTTTCTACCAACTACACTCAGCATTGACATAGAGCCTGTCAATTCCATTGAGAACCATTCCTTTTATGCTTTTTTGTTGTCAGCAAAATATTTATTTCCCCTTAGCTTCTCACTGTTCCTTAAAGATTGTAATGCTTAATATATTGCTTGGGCTTAGATGACAGCACCCTTTTGTTCTGGAATGTTTGTTAACCTCTAAACTAGTTCTTAACTGATTCACTTCTTACTTGGTGCTCCTTACTCATGACAAAACTTGTTTGAAAAACAACAGCAGAAAGTTCAGTAAACTAATCATGAAGTCCTTAACATCTTCAGAATCTGTTAGGCTGACAGACAAATGTCAGTTTTCAAAGGAGGGTTATTGTAGTAATGGCCTCTTAATTTGCTATGTGTGTATGTGTGTGCGTGTGGTGTGTGTGTGTGTGTGTGTGTGTGTGTGTGTGAGAGAGAGAGAGAGAGAGAGAGAGAGAGAGAGAGAGAGAGAGATTTGTATGAGATAAAAGGAGATATATAAGACCAAGATAAACTGAAAATGTAATGAGAACCCTGGCTGGTGTGGCTGAGCTGGTTGGAGAGTCATCCTGTGCACCAAAATGTTGCTGTAGACTTTCCAGTCAGGGCACACACCCAGGTTTCGGGTTCCATCCCTGGTTGGAGTGGGTGCAGGAGGCAACACATCAATGTTTCTCTCTCACATCACTCTTTCTTTTTCTCTCATATCACTGTTTCTCTCTCTAAAAATCAATAAAAAATATGTTACTGTGAAATTCTTAGAAGACTCTGGAATATGTCAACAGGACACTATTTAAGACTGGTACTGTTGAACTGTCCATAGAGGAAAGAGGGGGACCCAGCTTCATTACTTCACTTCTAAATAATAATAGTTTTAAAAAATGACTTCATTTGAATTAATGACTTAAAGTGGAATAAAAGGTATAATCTCATTAATTATGTTTCCTCATATCTGCTGGATTCAGCTTGCAGATAAGGTTTTATTTGGTCTATAGTTATTTTTTACTAGTTAAAATTTAAAAAAAAATCAAGAGTATCAAGTCTAGATTTATTTCTGTCTTTAAAATTTCTTGAAACCGAGGACCTGAATTACTTCAAAAAAATCACTAAAATATAGTTGTTGTTTCCCCTTTTGGATGAGAACAGTGCCAGCCAGTTTTGACACATTTCTCCCACTTGGGGTTACCCCACAGCTAATTTATTTCACTCCTTAACAATGTGTGCTTGTTCTTTGTAGGATTTTGAGTTTATAACTTCTCTATTAGCACTAAATTGTATAAGTAAGAGCTCAATTTGTGAAATAAAACCATGAATTTGAACCTCTGTAAAGCTGTTTCCTTATCTGCAAAGTGGAGGTAAAGTAACAGCACCACCGACAACATATGATGAATAAGTCAGTGAATAAATAAGAAACAAAAACATAATGCCAAGCATGTTACCTGGACTGAGTAATATTCCATAAATAATGTAGAATTATTAACAATTCTGGCAGAATGTTTACCATATTAGAACTGTTCACACATCTGAGATGAGCAAGATCGTTAGTTTTTGTAGATAACTCAAATATATATCGCCGTGGATCTTCACAATATAGGCAGAAATTGATGGACCTCTTAGGTGAGCTGCAGTTCATATATCCAGATAATGTTTCATTTCAATCCTAGATATATGATATTTTGATGCTTAGGGGAAGGCGTATCACCAATATATATTTTTTACATTTCTAAACTTTTTTTTTCTATAAATCCAACCTCTTTAAAAACTTATGCAGTATTCAATTTTATTTTTGTTTTCTAAGCTTGTGTTTGACTATTTAAGAAATTATTTTCTGGCCGAAACCGGTTTGGCTCAGTGGATAGAGCATCAGCCTGCGGACTGAAAGGTCCCAGGTTCGATTCTGGTCAAGGGCATGTACCTTGGTTGCGGGCACATCCCCAGTAGGGGGTGTGCAGGAGGCAGCTGATCGATGTTTCTCTCTCATTGATGTTTCTAACTCTCTATCTCTCTCCTTTTCCTCTCTGTAAAAAATCAATAAAATATATTTTTTTAAAAAAAGAAAAGAAATTATTTTCTGGACTCTATAGCTCAAAGTAATATAGCACTTTCAGACTTAGTTCATAGATCCCCTTGCGTTACTGTTATAAGACAGAAAAAGCTTACCTTCAGCTCTATCAACATTGCTGAAAAAGCAGTGGTTTTGCTCTGGTTTTAATAGTAATAAACAGATTTTTATTGAACATGTCAAAAAAAAGCACTTTGGAAAGTCACTGGACCCTTGTTCTCTGAAAAATTGTTTAGAATGCTATTAGATAACAAAATGTAATGGGAATGGTTTTTTCTAGGAATACATACACATTTTAATCTTTAAGACTTGAATAGAACTTGCTCTGAAATTAAAGTGTTTCAAAATGCATTTTTTTGGTCACATGAAAGTGTTTGTTTCACTATATAAGATGTTTCACATGTATAAATATTCAGAAATAAGGCTAGCAAGGCCTTCTCAAGAGGCACCACACTTATCCCTGTAAAAGAAGGCTGGTGACTGTGAGATCAGCGAAAGTAAAAAGCTGGGAGTATAAGAGAATCCATAGGGATCCAAATGGAGCCAAACTTCTCCCTCACTGTTGTGGGGGAGCAGGATTTCGCCATCCCAAAATATGCTCCTTTGGCATGAGGATTATTTTAGGCTGGCTTATTTTTAAAAAAACACAAGGTTAACTAAGAGCTGTTTTACCTCCCCCAAAATTGCCTAAAATAATTTAGATAGAGCACCTATTCCAGGAAGGGAGCTATCACCAGACATGTAACTTTGTTTATGAAGACGATGAGCTGGGAGTGGTGGACCAGGGGGAGGTAAGCAAGGTATGCTTGTTCAAAGTCCTATCTGTGTCCATTTGACCCTGCATGGCATAGCAAACATTTGTTTATCACCTATGTGCTTTTCCGCCTGGCCAGTGTGGTTCAGTGGTTGAACATCGACCTATGAACCAGGAGGTCAAGTTCCATTCCCCATCAGGGCACATGCCTGCGTTGTGGGCCTGATCCCCAGTGGGGGGTGTTCAGGAGAATCAATGATTCTCCCCCATCAATGCTGTTTCTATATCTCACCCCCTCTCTCTCCCTTAAAAGAGTTAAAAACATCTGCTTTTCCATCTCCATGTGAATTGCCTTCCTTCCCTTTGAAGTCCCCTACCCTTATCCTCTTCTTAACTCTGGATGGCACACAAACCACAGTGCTTGCTTATCTATACACCTTCACATTCTTGTGGATCCCTATTCATACAAAATTAAATTTGTTTTCTTCTCCCATTAACGTCTTATGTTAATTTTTTACATCAGCCAAAGAATATAGAAGGGTAAAAATAAAATTTTTCTGCACCTACAAGTCCAAAATTGAAAGTTGCTTGAACACAAAGTTGATTTTTAAGTTGGTATTTCACTACTTTATTTTCTTTTTAATATAGTTCATGACTTGGTACTTTATCTTGCTTTATTTAAAAACAAGATATTTTAAAAGCTCAATCTCATATTTGTAAAGCTGAAAAAATTTTAAGGCCCCATTATCTTCCAACCAAAATTTCTAAAAATTACATATTTCTTTCATTGAGACATCTTATGCTAGCTTAAATCCTATCTAATAAAATAGTAATATGCAAATTGACCATCACACCAAGACACAAGATGGCTGCTCCCATGTGGTCAAAGATGGCTGCCCCCATGTGAACACAAGATGGATGCCACAAGATGGCCACCACAAGATGGCCTGCAGCGGAGGGCAGTTGTGGGAAGTAGGGGTGACCAGGCCTGCAGAGGAGGGCAGTTGGGGGAGACCAGGCCAGCAGGGGAGGGTAGTTGGGAGCCAGCAGTCCTGGATTGTGAGAGGGATGTCCGACCGCCCGTTTAGACCCAACCCACTGAAGAGGGTGCAGGCTGGTATGAGGGACACCCCACCCCATGCACAAATTTCATGCACCGGGCCTCTAGTATTAGTTAATAAAAGAAAATCAATAGTAACGAATGTTCCACTTTAGTTTCTGGCTTCTAGGGTGCCCATAAGAACCAGTGATCTAAGAATAATACCTAGGTTCTTAAGA